CTTGCCCGCCGGCGCGTCTTGTTTGGCATGGGCGTCGTCGAGGTCGATCACGAGTTTGTCGCCGGGATCGTTGCTGTCGAGGAGCGCGAAGAGGTTGACGCTGGGCTTCAGTCCCGCCATGTCGATGGATCGAGCGAGGACTTTCTCGTTGCTTGTTGATGTGCGATTCGTGACTTGGAGGCTGCGCAGGAGGCTTGCATATATATAGATAGCTTGATTGACGCGCTCGTAAAATCCGAGTCCAATTAGATAGTTGCTTCATTACGGGAAGAGCTAGGGCTGGGTCCGCACATTGTACGAAGTGGAGATGGAGAAGGACTAGGACACAATCTCCGACTTGGTTGCAACAGTCCGGCCGGGCTTCAACTTCCGGTGTACGTGCAATTTTTTGTTAGGAATCATGCCTGGAAACTCTCTTTTTTCAAATGTTCTACGCCCCATTAGCCAGGCACTGTTCTTTAGGTCTTCGATTTGACGGATAAAATATGTATAATATGCCACAAAAATTATATAGTTAGAAACTTTATTTGACGACAAATCTAAAGACATATTTTTGTAAAATATAATACATATTTCCTTATCATTTGTTAAAATGAAGAGCTAAAAACTTGTGCTTGACTTATAAACTTATCGGAGGGAGTATTCTATGAAACCACTAAAAATCCAACGTCAGATTTTTAGTGGTCATGGAGCGAATGCGTGGACATCTATCAGATGATCTGCATGGATCTCAATGCAATGCCTAATGCCACATCATAAAAAACATTTGATTTGGGGCGAACGAAGCGGCCTTATCCACCTGACCCCCGCAACCCCTCTTGCACTCGTGTTCCCCCTCCACCCCATTTCCTCCTCCCATCCCGCCTGACCCACACAACACATCTCGCACTCGTATCGACAAGGATCAAGTCCTTAAGACACGTGGCGCGGCTGATGGTAAGTGTGTGTGGTATGGTCAGGATGAACCCTGCGACCACATTCTGTGTAGATGTGTGATGGCTTAGTTTGTGGAGTTTGGTTCGGGACTTGAACAGTGCTACTTTGAAGCCATCCGACTTCTTGCTGTGGGAACCTAGGTTGGTGATCCCAAATTAGCATGGAAAGCGTTCACCGCACTTTCTTGGTCCTTATCGACTGCCAGGAACAAAACGTTGTTTGAAGGGATAGATTTCAACCATCCATCTGACCTTATCTACAAAATGCTTTCTCTTTTAGAACTTCGGAGGCTGCTGGGGAGACATTGAGAGTTACCACGCTTGATCGGTTCCTCGCCTGCATGTGCGCAAGGGCGGCAGCCTTGCGAACCGCAATGCTTCAGGATGACATTGTTTAGGGAGCCTTTGTGGACGAGATGCCTCTACTTGTGTTTTGCTTCTTACACTAGTAGAAAAAGGATCAAACGTGAAGTACATTAGTGCCGGTTTGATTTAGACCCGGTACTAATGGTACCATTAGTGCCGGTTCGAACGGATTTGCATTAATGCCGGTTCGTGTTGAACCTTTAGTACCGGTTCGTGGCACGAACCGGTACTAAAGGGGTGGTGGCAGGCTGGCGTCAGGCCGGGGCCCCACGATCACCTTTAGTACCGGTTCGTGGCACGAACCGGTACTAAAGGGCTCTGACCTATAGTACCGGTTTGTGACACAAACCGGCACTATAGGGCAATTTTCAAACTCTACCCCCCCACCCGTGTGTCACCATTTCAGTTCTGAAAAAATCAAAAGAAAATGATAAAAACTTCAAAAAAATAAAATCCTTCGAGAGGTAGTTATATTACTACATCTACTAGTTAGGAAAATTTGAAAACTACAATTTGGACATGTTTTGCAAAAAGTGTAGGGAAAATATAAAACGGCTATAACTTTTGCATACGATGTCGGAAAAAAAACGTATAATATATCAAAAAATTCAGCACGAAAATCCGCATCCGTTGGAGACCGCCTACGACCTGTTTGGAATTTTTTAGAATCCTCAAATTCCAAAAGGAAAAAAAGATATGGTCAAATTTCAGTTTTTTTAAAAAAATTTGGTTAAATCTGGTCAAACTAATTATTCAAGAAGTATTAATGTTACTACATAATTATTCAAGAATATTAGTGTTACTACATAATTATTTCATTTTTTTGAATTTTGGACAAATCTGGTCAAACTGTGGTCAAACTATGGTCAAACTTATTCAAGAAATATTAGCGTTACTAAATAATTACTGTTTTTTAGAATAATAGTTTCAAACTCAAACGGTGAAATGTGTGACTTCATGCTCAAGCTAAACTCCTGAGGGTTAATAGGATTAACATCTTACTATTGTCAGGAAAACAACAAGTGCAGACTTGGAAACGAAGGAGAATAGAACCCGAAAGTTAAGCGTGCTCGGGCTGGAGTAGTGAGAGGGATGGGTGATTGGTCGGGAAGTTAGATAATTTGGAATGAGTGATCCACACTTGAGCAGTTAAGAGAGGTGATTAGAGACTAAATCATGAAATAATTCAGAAAAATTAAAAATCGGAAAAAATCAAAAAAAAATTCCAAAATTTTCAAAAAAAAAATCAAAAAAAAACCTTTACTAAAGGTCCCCCATATCAGGGCGTGAGCTCACGCCACGTGGTGGCACTTTAGCGCCGGTTCATGCCGAACCGGTACTAAAAGGGGGGGGGCCTTTAGTGCCCACACTTTAGTGCCGGTTCCATAACCGGCACTAAAGGCCCTTACAAACCGGTTTTAAAACTCTGTTTTCTACTAGTGTTAGTACCCTTTTTTGTTCTACAACGCTATGTCGCTTGTATTTGGTCTCCGTGACATTGTATCAAACCTTGTTTCCTTGTCTATATGCGCTCAATCGCTTAATTAACTCATATCGAACATTTGTCTCAAACCTAAGGGCCTCATATTAAGGTCGGGTGATTTCATTCTAAATAAATCAATAGGGTCCGCAACCCTGGGGAGTTGCCCCGCTACCGACAAATGAGGCGCCAACAACAAGCCCACATGAAGAGCCGACCACTACCACGGTTGCCACGCATTGCCACCGTGACGAGCCCAAGACGACCTCACCGCCATCGTCCGCTGCACGGGCTTTGCTCAGCGGCCTCATCCGGCAGCAGGGGGAGGGAGAGAAGGGGTGGGGGGAGGTGATGCTGGCTAGGGTTTTAGCCATCCACCTTTAATATTGGTGCACCTCTTTTCCTACCATGCTTTGAATTTTGTCACCAACTACTCATAATTGTTTATAACTAAGCAAAAAAGAATAGGAACTCCAATTTGTTTTGAGCGGAGAAAACCCGTACTTAATTGTTCCTTTTGTGCATTTGCTAATCTTCAATTGACCAATAAATTAGTCAAATAGCAATCGCGTGACACTAAGTACCATCGATCTGAATTCTAAAGTTATAACCCATGCAAGATTTTTTTTGTAGAGTTTTTGAAAAAACACCTTAATTTATTTCACCATCGATCAATTTTAATAATGCAATGAACTTTTTTAAATATGTATGAACAAATTTGTAAAAGCATCGTTGAATAATTAGTCGACAAAGCGATAAATGTTTCATTTTTCCCATGAGAATAGTTGGATTTACTTTTTAAACCATTATTTACTCATATTTATCCATTGATAGAAAAACAGGAAAATAACAAGATAATAGCCGATCAAGTACTCCCTAGACACTTGTTTAGAATGCGGTCATTATATACCACAGAAAGATGTCGTAAAAAGCAAGCGGACGAACAAATAATTGAAAGCCTACAAATATGTTGAAGGACATTTATCATCTAGCTAGCAATGCTTCAGTGAAGGGAACACATTGATGTCATATAGGCTTGGTGGCAGAGGAGGAGGAGCCCGTTTGGGAGCCGGCGGCGCATCCACGCCTTCTGTAGGGGCCGCCTCGTTCAGAGACATGTTGGGTTGCTCCCTCTTTGGATCTTCAAATCTACCTGACACGCCGGGTAGCGGCGTCCTCGACGCTCCGTTGTGGTAGTAGTTGTAATATCTGCCTCGCTTTGCTCCGTCCTCCTGTACCTTGCTGTCATCAGCCTCACCGTCATTGTCCGCCGCACGGGCTTTGTTCGATGGTCTCCTCCGTATGACAGTGGCTAGGGTTTTAGCCATCCATCTTTATTTGTGCACTGCTTTTCCTAGTACCATGCTCTGAATTTTGCACCAACTACTCATAATTGTTGCGAGAGTGGATGTTTTACTCTCGCGTGTACTATAACCGAGTTTGCAAAAAAATATATATGAAAAAACGTGATCAAGCAAAATCTGAGACATCAACTTTATCAAATGTTCGAGCATTTTGCAAAATTTCAGCCAAAAATAACATCCGTCGAGCACTCACTACCAAAACAAAATCAATGGTCAAAGTTTTGTCCACTTTTTGAGCATTGATTTTATTTTATTTTAGTTCGAGGTAAAAGCTCGAACCTTTGATAAGGTTTGATATCTCAAAATTTCTGATTTTTTGGATGTTGTTTAATTTGATCACATTTTTCATTTATTTGTTTTGCAAACTGGGGTGTAGTACACCCGAGAGTAGTGGATACTTTTCGATTGTTTAACTAAGAAAAGGAACTCTAATTTGTTATGAGGTAAGCTCTACTGGATTGTTCTTTTTTGGTTTTGCTATTTTTCAATCAACCAATAAATTAGTCAAATATCAATCCACACTAAGTACCATCTATCTGTATTCTGAAGTTAAAAGCCATGCAAGATTTCTTTTTTCAGAGTTTCAAAAACAAAAGCACTATAATGCAATGTGCTCTCTTTTTTATTGTTGAATAGTTAGTCGACTAAGCCCTTACTAAATTTTACCTTTTTATCCATTATCTACTCTAATTTATCCATTGATATATAGGATAGAGATCCAATGATATTTTATTCGTGAAAATTTAATTAAGAACTCAATAACAAGATAATAGTCGATCGAGTACACTTGTTTAAAAACTAAACATTGTATACTAGACAAATATGTTGAAGGACAGCTATCGTCTAGAGCTAGCACTACTTCAACGAAGGGAACTCGTTGGTGTCATCTAGGCTCGGTGGCGGCGGCGCCTCCACGCCTTCTGCAGGGGGCGCCCCGTTCAGCGGCATGTTGGGTAGCTGCCTCTGTGGAGCTCCAAACTTTCCCGGCATGCCGGGTTGCTGCTTCCTCGATGCTCCGTTGTTGTAGTAGTTATTGCTGTATCTGATGCCTCGCCTTGCTCCATCTTGTACCTGGCTGCTGTCGGCCGAAGCCCCCGCGCTCTTATCACCGCCGGAAACTCCGATGTTCGTCTTTGCCCTTGCCGCCGCCTCGGCCTCGGCCCTGGCCCGTCTCTCCAGCTGATTTTTCCTGATCACGTAATCCCGTGCGGTAGGGTATGCCTGGGCCAATAGATCCTTGGTAAGACTGGCAGCCGGCGCCGCCGTCTTCTTGTGCTTGGCCGCCGCCGTCGCATCTTGTTTGGCATTGGCGTCGTCGAGGTCGGTCACTAGTTTGTCGCCGGGATCGTTGCGGTCGAGGAGCGCGAAGAGGTTGACGCTGGGCTTCAGTCCCGCCATGTCGATGGATTCGTGACTTGGAGGCTGCCCAGCAGGCGTGTAGGTATATATAGCTTGATTGACGCGCTCTCCTTCAATCCGAGTCCAATTAGATACGGTAGATATCAGTTAGGGGACGAACTAGGGCTGGCTCCGCACATTGTACGAAGTGGAGATGGAGAAGAACTCGGACACAACCTACTAACGGGACTCCGACTTGGTTGCAACACTCCTGCGGGGCTTCAAGTTCCGGTGTCAACGTATAAGAGTACGTGATGATAGCTTGGCACCAAAACGTGGGAATCATGCATGGAAACTCTCCATTTTCAAATGTTGTATCCTATTTTCTGTCACAAGGCACACGCACGGACACGAAGGCACATGCATGAAAAGCATCCGCGAAATCAAAAATATTCATCAATTTAGAAATTAAAATAAGTAGCATAAAAAAGATATAGAAAACGTAAAAAGCTGGTCGGAAAAACCCTGGGTTAGGCGAATGCATGGGTATTCTTGATCTGGAGAGGTTCTAAAACCAGTCGAAGAGAGACACGTAAAAAAAGCCACAATGCGCCAGGCCAAGTTGCGTGCGGTGTGCTGGGGGTATGCGTTTGCCTATCCACCGCATGTGACACGACGAATAGGAAATGACGCGGAAGAGACCTCCTAATCGGCGCTTTAAGGCGCTGAAACAGTGCATGGCACATATGCGTCGTGCGACCTAGGCCGGCACGGTAAGCCCCATTCGCTCAATCAACCATCCTTTTTTATTGCTTTTTTTTCTGTTCGCTTGTCGTTAGCTGGTTCCTTGTATAGAAGAGAAAAACGAAATGTTTTTATAGTTTTGAAAATTTGCTGAACTGAAAAGAGCCCATGAATTATAAAAAAATCCGCATATTTGAAAATGTTCCTGCATTTTTGCAAAAATTCACTAATTAAAAAAGGTCATGAATATGGAAAAGATTCATGAATTTTGAAAAAGTTCATGATTTGAAAATAGTTAGAAAATTTGAAAATACTCACGAATTTCAAAAAATGATGGATTTTAAAAAGTATGTCATTTTTTTAAATTTTGTGGCTTTTGAAAAACTATGTGAATTTGAAAATGTTCATGAATTTGGAAAAACTTCATGAATTTAGAAAAAAAAGAAAAAAGTAAAAGGAAAAAAGAAAAAAAAGAAAAAAACAGCACAACCCATGGAGCCTTCTAGAAGGTTCTCAAAACATATGAGAGAAAACATGATATGGACAGGCCGTATAGGAACTAGTGTTGTGGACATGTGTCGTCATACTGACGTCGTGCTCTTGTCACTCAAATTTCATATTTTTCCCTTTTTAAGTTTATTGATATTTCAAATGCATATATTTCAAAAAAATGAAAACCATGAGTTGAAAAAAAATTCTTAACACAGTATAAACAAATTGTTATCACTGTTTTAGAACACATTGATAATTTCAAGAAAAATGCTCATGAAAATGAAAAATGTTCACGTGTTTCACAGAAATGTGTGTGGAATGTTTATAAAATGTGTATACAATGTAAAAAAAAATTAGTACTATTAAAAATTTTATGTGACATCTTAAAGAAATACTCCCTGTTTCAAAATATGTTTCACGATCGTTAGAAAAATGTTTATAAAATGTGAAAAATGTTCGCGTAGGTTAATTTTTAATTTCCAACAAAAATGTAAGTTACATTTTAAAGAAATGTCCATGTATTTCCAGATTCCAGGAATAATGTTCATGAAATTTTGAATAACGTTTATAAAATATAAAATAAATGTTCACATACTTATCAAACATATTTATTGCCACTATAAAAATGTAGAACATGAATTTGGGAAATGTTACCGTGTATTCAAAAAAGTGTTCAAAACATGTATTTGAAGAAAATGTAAATCATGTACCTGAAAAAAATTCGTACCACTAAAAGAATCTACATAACACTTTAAGAAATATGCCCGCATCTGGATAATGATCCTGACATTTTTAAAAAATGTTGATACAATGTAAAAGAAAATGTATGTATGGGTCAAAAAAGTGCAAGTGGCATTTTAAAGAAATATTCCTGCATTTCGATAAAATGTTCATGAAGTTTAAAAAATGTTAATACAATGCAAGAAAATGTTTGTGTGGGTGAAAACAAATGCACTGGACATTCTACAGGAATATTCATGCATTTCTAAAAAATGCATGTGAAATTTTTTAAAATTTTTATACCATGTTAATAAAATTGCATAGTTCTGAAAAATATTTATTTCATTCAAAAATGTACAAATTTTATTTGAAAAAAAGTTATCATGTATTCGGAAAAGTGTTCAAAACATGTATTTTCTTAAATGCCCAACGTGTATCATAAAGATATTTCACGTGTGTGCTAAAAACGTACATTGTGTACTGTGAAAAAAAAGGTAAACATGTGTTAGAAGAAAGATAACCTATCAAAACCAACAAAGAAACAAAAAGAGCAGAGAAAAAAACATAGTATAACAAAGAAAGAAAGAAAACTGAAGAAAACCAGTGAAAAACAAAGAAAACCGAAGTGTGACTAAGAAAGACAGAAAACCCAAAGAAAAGCAATGGAAAAACAAAAAAAATAAAAGAAAACAGAAAACAAAAAAAGAAAACCGAAGTAGAGCGAACCTACATCGACACGAGTGACAGTGAACAACCTGTGGTAATGGACCGGCCCCATAGTCACCCACCCGTGGGCGATTCCTAATATGAATCGGTATGGAGAAGACATAGCTCTTGTGGGCGCGGAATAGGGAGCATTGTAGAGAAGTAATGACGAGTTAATGGGTATAGGATTCATGACATTTTTTTTTGGATTGTTAATGAAATGCCAGAAGTTAGTGCGCATTAACTTTGTGTACATACATGGTTACTTCAACTGCTGGCTATAAGAAAATGCTATGTCATTTATAGCCAACCTTATAGCCAACATGTATAACAATTAGCTATAAGCATGTGGTACTTTATTAATATATGGCCCACCTTTCACTCTCACATAGTGCATAGAAGCATGTGCTGCAGCTCGCTCTTGCATGAGAGCCCGCTTACATTCTCTCTCCTATCCTCTCTCCTTCAACTAAGTATAAAAATATTAATTTACTTCTTACAGCCTGTTGATTGTATCTTATTGCACCTGCTCTCATGCATGTTTGCAGAGGAAGCACCTGCTCATATTGGTGTTAATTCACCATTGTTGGACCATAAAGATAAACGGTTAGATGTTGCTGCACTGATAAATCAATAGGCAACGCGAGTAATAGCATAGCTTCTTTACAGGAGAAGAAGCCTCGAGTTTAGTATAAGTATTTTTTTCTGGTCACGAAGTTCTCAGTTTTTCACTAAACATAAAAAAAAGTAGAAAGACATAATTTCGTGGAATTTGTACCGTGGATTTTCCAGGAAGTAGAACATTGAATTTTTCATTCCTTTTTTTTCTATTTTAAATTTTAACACTCATGAAGCCCACTGTTTATTTTAATTTTCCTAGGATGAGATTCTTCATTTTTGTACAGTAGAAGACACATAACTGCATGGAAATATTACACACTACTCAATGCTAAATTTGTCACCTTATTTCACAAGCACTGATACTTCCCCACTTCCCACAGCCAGCAGTGATCCTATGCGCATTTTCGGAGAAGTCGAGATAGTTTCCTGCCTATACATAACACAGGCCAGCTTAATGGGCTCACTTAATCGGCGGTGGCCACCTTTACGGGCCTAGCCTCGCGCCAGCCCGGCCCGCTGGCTCCGGCACCCCCCACCCGCGCCGCCTCCGCACTGCGGCCCTCACTTGCCCCCATCCCCTTCTCCCTCTCCCCCGACCCCTCCTGCCCCGCCCCACCTCGCCGCCGCCGCCGCCGCCCCTCCTCGCCGCCGCGGCCCCTCCCAGATCCCGCCGCCGCAGAGCACGGAGCGTTGGTATCCTCTCCCCACGTAGCTGCCCCGGGGACCCCAGATCCGCGGCGTAGGCGCTGCTGGCGGTGCGCGCCTAGGGTTAGCGCCCCCACGCACGCGTTTGGTGCCGTCGCGGGGCGAAGGCGGCCATGAGCGACGGCGAGCGCCGCGACGAGGACGTCGCGACCACCAGCGCCGCAGGTGAGCCCGCCGCCCTCCCATTCCAGGGCTGATCGATCGGTGATTGACCGGGTGGTAGGTATCGAGCTGGTTTTATTCGCCTTATTATCTCTCGCTCATCTGCCATCTTTCCAGATGACGACGACGATGAGGACTACGAGGAGCCTGGCGGAGAGAACCATTTCCTGGGGTTCATGTTTGGCAACGTCGACGATGCCGGCGACCTGGACGCCGACTATCTCGACGAGGTGAATACCGTGCTCGCTGTCTATGCTAGCCTGCAGAAACTCCTGTTTCTGTTCTTTGTGCTTTTCTTTTTCCATCTGTCTGCATCTAGCAGACGATACACACCTATGCAGGTTTTAGTTGTGCAAGCAGTAGCGTCATATGTCTCCTGAATGATGCAAAAAGATCGATGCTTTTTTTACCCAGTGTGTGATATGGTTGTCGTGACGCGAATGCACAAGTTCTATCTTTTATATCTCTCCCCAATGGTGCCGATCCATTCCTGATAATTCGATACGCCTTAAATTTATGTTGGATAGAAATGCTTTAGTATTATCACTGAAGGAGTGGATAGACTTTACAAGGTCAAAGACTCTTGTTTTTCCTTGTTCTATTGGGTGAATGGAAATACTGTACTCTCTCCGTCCCATAATATAAGAGCGTTTTGGACACTAGACTAGTGTCAAAAACGCTCTTATAATATGGGACGGAGGGAGTATCTTTTATTGATGATGTCAAATATGAGCAGGAATAGTAGTTCCGTCTTTCTGCAGATAGCCACTAGACAACTGTGTAGAGTTTTGAATTGAATCAAGTTCAGAAATTTAAAAAACAGCACAAGTTGGTTTGGATGTGGATAGGAGGATTGCCATCAAAATGGCGGTTAAAACCCGATGAATCCACTGATGGTTCCTCTCTCCATCTCCATCTTCGGCTTTTCCCTAGTAGGTCTTCACGATTTGACCAGAAGAAGTCAATTCTGTAACATGGACTTACCTCTGTTGTTTGCTTTTCGCTGGAACTTTTGACAACAGGAGTTTATTTAGTTTCTTTGTATTGTAATGATGCTTGTGCTCAGTAGCAACGGCAGGACTCAGCCATGACCCAGGCAGCCTATAGGCACTGTAGATGTAGCTTAAGTACTTTGCTAAAATCTACAAAGGAAATGGCCGCACGCCCCAATCAGTGGCCCGGTCTGCCTGGGGTCTGGCGCCACACTGCTTGTGCTTCATTTCTTACTACATCTGTTTTTTTTTTTGAGTTATCAGGATGCGAAGGAACATCTTTTTGCGCTAGCAGACAAGCTTGGTGCATCCCTGAAAGACATTGATGTATGGTATCCAATGATAATTACAATATTAATTTGATGAAAGCTTTTCTTGTTTTCAACACATTAATGCTGTGCTGTTTGCTTATAGCTGACTAAGTCTTCTCCAGCAACAGCCGATCCTTCTGAGCAAGGTAAGTGGCATCTCTGTAATTCCGTATAAGAATGAACCAATTTTAATGGGTTCTTCATCAAGTCCAATTTGTGAACTATTCATTATTCTGCCCTTTTCTGACAGCTTTGGTATCCTGTTTTCCATCTAATCATATATTTGTATGGAATAGTTGATGTATGATATTTGTTCTGTTCTGTAGATTATGATGAGAAAGCAGAGGATGCTGTTGACTATGAAGATATTGATGAACAATATGATGGACCTGAAGTTGAAGCAGCTACAGAGGAAGACCATTTGCTATCCAAGAAAGATTACTTCTCCTCAAACACAATGTTTGCTTCAGTCAGTAGTAAAGTTTCAGTGTTTGATGAGGAGAACTATGATGAGGATGAAGAACCACCCAATGATATCGAGTTACCTGGTGATAATGTTATACAAGGTTTGGCATATCTGTACGCATAATGTGCTTGTGTTTATTGTTAAGTTTTTTTGTTTGGTCTGGCGAGTGTTGCTCATAGTGGTTCATCTGATTATCTGAGAAAATCAGCAGTATTTTTATTTACGCAAGGCACCAACGTTATTGTTTTCATGAATGGTGTTCATTTTGAACTTCTGAAAACACCATACAACTTGTTTTTATGCATTTCTTATTACTCCGTGATTAGTTTATGGAGAATAGTTTGGAAGCAAAACAAGCCAATTTCATCTGTTGAAGTCAACACCCCTTGTAATTTATGTTTGAATATTTATGTCTATGCATTTCAGCTTTATATAATTTGTATTTGAATTCTATTTATATGGATATCATCTTGCTTTTGACGTAAGTCTCCTTTGCTTTTATCAATTTAGATGTCATTTCAGCCGAGCAGACGGAAATATCACCCTCTAATGATAATCCTGCCATCGGAAAGGTATCTAGCCCGTTGCCACAATCTCAGGAAACTATGGATGTTGAATATGAAGTTTGTCAGGTACACATTATTTATATTGGCTCACCCACTCAAATGAATTCTGAATCTCATGACACCTTTAGTTTGACTTATTGTTCATTCAGAATCTGGTTCACTTTCAATTAAGTACGTCTGAGTTAGGACCGAGGAATCTGGATGAGAGTCAAATTTACTTCATAGGTTGGGTCATGCTTATTTTTGGGGGAAATTAGCCAGGGGACACTATATAATCCTTTCATTGTTAAAAATCACTGGATCCTTTTTTTTAGACCAAAAAATCACTGGATCCTTGATGTCAAGTGGGACCTGGATCCACAAATAAGTGATACAGCAGTTCCATGAAAAAAAACATACATTTTCTCATGCCCTGTAGTTAATTTCCTCAACATATTTCTACTCATAAATCTGCATTTCCTTTGTGATGATGTATGTACCTGTCTCACTGGACTGCTTGTTTCTAACAATTGTCAGGAAGAAATTGACACTGAGGAAGATCAACTCGAGTCTAAATCTGCGACTACCCTCCCTGTTTTATGCATAGAGGATGGGAGTGTGATCTTGAAGTTCTCTGAAATTTTTGGTGCACAGGAGCCTGTAAGAAAGGCCAAGACAGATCAGCATAAGCGGCCAGTGAATAAAGGTATTCAACAGGCTTACTATAAGACACAAATCTAAGAAGATCATTATGAACCCCTTGACAGTGTGGCATATATAGCTGGGTTGTGATTTGAGGCATATTAACCTGAAAGTAATGGTAACACATAATTATTTACTGTTTCTGCTTAGGCTCTATATTCTGAACATAAACAAATTTAGTTAGCACAGACCATGCGGAGGGTATATGCTCACTACTGCTTGTATGGTCTCCAATCTTAGATTATTTAATCTGTCCACCACCACCACCCCCCTCCCAAATCATATGCATGGAAAACATGACCAATTTAATAGAAATTAGTTTTAAAGGCCTTTCTCTGGTATTAATTGCTTCCAGAGCTCCGTATCACAAACATCAGTGACATTGTTGAGGATGACGAGGAAGTATTTCTAAGGAGTACTATTCAAGATGTCCCATCTTTGAAGCATATCAAGACAAATGAAGATTTTATCGAGAGTGACAGTGATGAGTTAATTTCTAGTGATACTTTTGGGTTTAAAGATTTGTGTCTTTCTGAACAACCAATGAAGGATGTACACAAAGAGTTCCCTACTGCTAAACAAACTCTAGTTTGTCCTGATGTTTATCCACTTGAGCATGAAGACTGGGAAAATGGTATCATTTGGGGCAATTCACCAGCAAGTGAAAGTCAGTCTTGTTTAAAAAGCTGTGTCATATCTGAAGAGAGCTCTGATGCTCACAGTGAAGATGAGGCTAAGGATTATGGTTATGTATCCGGGCGTTGTGATGTACAGGATAAAAATAATGGTTCTCCAGTAATAAGAGAGCCTTTTGGCTGTACAGAAATGCCTGCTTCAGCTAGTTATCATTCCCCTGAGAATAGTTACCCTCCATTGATAAAGGAGACTCCTCAAGAGAAGAATGACTTAGACCATGCGGAACCAAATAACATAAATGGAACAGTTAAAATCAATACGATGAAGTGTTTAAGCAACCTCTCTCTTCTGAACAAGGAACTGTTGGAAGGATCTTGGTTGGACAACGTAATTTGGGATCCCAGTGAGGATACTCCTAAGCCTAAGTTAATCTTGGATCTGAAAGATGACCAGATGCTTTTCGAGATTTTAGATGAGAAGAATGGGGATCACCTCCGCTCACATGCTCGTGCGATGATTGTTAGTCGGCCAATGAAGACTGCAACAGTGGAAAATGTTGGCCATAACAACCAAGCAATTACATTGGATGCCCAATTCAACATTTCCAATGACAAATTTTATTCCAACAGGAAGATGTCGCAACAAGCTAAATCTCATACTAAAAAGCGTTCTTCAATGGGCATAAAGGTGGTACATTCTGTTCCTGGTCAAAAATTGCAGACCATGAAGCCAAAGCTAAGCACGTATGAGTCTCTCATCCCTTGCCATAAAATTCCACATCTATTATTAGTTGATTACTTGTCTTGTTTTGGATTAATGAACTTGTATCTGATGAATCTTGCAATCTTTATATGCTTACTATGATAATTATTGCACATGGGGTGACATGTTTTAAAAAAAAACTGGGTGTCAGATCATTTCAAATAATTCAACTGAAATGTGTGACATCTATTTGTCTCCAATTCTTCATCGTTAATGTATAGTCAAGTGAGCAACCAGCAGTTTTGTTGTCCTGTGGAAATATTTCTGTAACAATGGATTTGGGCACCATATGTATCTGTATGCATATATAATTATATAGTTTACCACTGTTTCATTGGACTTCTGGTTTCTGTAACTGGGCTTATTCTACCGAACTCTATTCTTGTCTGTATTTGTATAGCATATATATCTTACCAGTCTTGGGTAAATATTTCTGTAACAATGGATTCTATTTGTGAGGCTTGGCTCCTTATGATTCATATTTGTGAGGCCTGTTCTTTGCTGATTTCATCTCTAATAAGTTTTATCAACTTTCAATGCAGTAACGAAATTGCAAATTTCCATAGACCAAAAGCTAAGTGGTACCCCCATGAAAATAAACTTGCTGCTGAGTTGCAAGGAGCTGCTTGCAGTCATGGGTCAATGACTGTTATAGTAATGACGTTAGCAGGAAAAGGAGTGAAACTTCTCGTCAATGCAGAGGAAACTCCACTATCAGTAAAATCAAAAGCTTCCAAGAAATTAGGCTAGTCCTCAATCATTATCCTGCTCTATTCTGTTATTTTTCTTAGTTTAGAAAGCCATCAATAGTTATTTTATGATGCCTTAACTTTACTCCATGCAGAATTTAGACCATCTGAAAAGATCAAATTGTTTGGTTATGGAAAAGAACTCCAGGATGACATCTCCTTGGCCATGCAAAACGTGCGACCAAACTCTATTTTGCATGTTGTTCGCACTGAAGTACATCTATGGCCAAAAGCACAGAAGTTACCTGGAGAGGACAAGGCTCTACGTCCTCCAGGGGCATTCAGGAAAAAAGCTGACTTGTCTGTTAAGGATGGACATGTATTTTTGATGGAGTAAGTCCAATCATAATATTTCTCTTCATACCACACGTGTTGTAATCTTCACATATGCAAATTCTTGTATGTGAAAGTCATATTGAAACTTTTACTGCTATACTTTGGTCAAGTGGTGAATATGATGATACTATGAGCAAAAATTGCTATTGATCATCTAAATGGCCATATGCTGTGCTTGTTGTTTTGATCATGTATGTTTTTGTTCATTAGTTAATGTGCTGCCATGTTTTTATTGCTTTCGATGCAGATATTGTGAGGAAAGACCTTTACTGCTTGCAAATGCAGGAATGGGTGCTCGACTCTGTACTTACTACCAGAAAACTTCACCCACTGATCAGACAGCTATATCCCTGCGAAGCAACAATGACGGACTGGGTACAGTGCTTGCTATTGAGCCTGCTGATAAATCTCCTTTCCTGGGAGATGTACGTTCTGGGTCCCAGCAATCATGTCTTGAGACAAACATGTACAGAGCACCTGCATTTCCTCATAAATTGGCATCGACTGATTATCTTTTAGTTCGTTCGCCGAAAGGGATGCTTTCTCTACGCCGCATTGACAAGCTATATGCTGTTGGCCAACAAGTAAGCTCTTGTACTGAAATACTCTGTTCTATATCTGCAGGATGTTCATAATATTGTCACTCTTTTTCTTTTAATTTTTGGAATTTTCACTTGGAAGGGAACTAGTTTCGGATTAGTTTGCTGGGGTTATTTATTTATTTGTTGTTCTGCAAGTGTGTAATGCTGGAAAATCTTCAACTAAGCATTGTTATATTTTATACTGCATCAAAATACATGCTGTGGTATTCATCAATAAATGATAGATTTGTGCTCTCCTGGCAGGAACCACACATGGAAGTATTTTCACCAGGAACGAAAAATCTGCAGAATCATCTTTTGAATCGAATGCTCGTATACGTATATCGTGAATTCCGTCTTAGGGAGAGGCCTGGTGTTCTTTCTCAGATTCGAGCTGATGAAGTACCTATTCAGCATCCTCTGACAGAAGCTATTGTGAGAAAACGATTGAAGCATTGTGCAGACCTGAAGGTAGATATATCACCCATGTTATTATTACTTCTATAGTTGTACTGTAATCTCATTTGATTTTCCAGCCATGGACTTCTGTTTTACCATAATTAACGCTCGCATGCATTCATTTAAACAGAAAGGACCCAACGGACATTATTTCTGGACACAGAGACCTGACTTCCGGATTCCGTCAGAGGAGGAGCTTAGAAGATTGGTGTCACCAGAAAGTGTGAGTTTCTAAAAAATACCTTTGTCACTTGTGATAAGCAACTACTTGTTGATGAAAATTTTCAAAGACTCCTCTCGTAAAGAAATGTGTATGCTGGTCAGTCATAACACACATGATATATGAGAATAACCAGGTTGATCGGTCACTCAGTTCCTCCGTTCCAAAGCCCCAAACTCTCATGCATGAATTAAAGTATAAAATCAAGGACAAATAGTAGAAAATTTGTACCGATTTTTTCTGTTTATTGGAATAATCAATTACTTAAATCTCTCCCTCTTGACATCAATACAAGTGGTTGGAGTGGAAAAGCACAACTCTTGGTTTCGAAACAAGACCAACTGAAAAGCAGGCCTTATATTTTTAATTCTAGTATAAGAGATGACTGTCAGTTTCAGCACTCTTACTAATTTCAGAGTAATATCAATAAGTGGTGTGTAGTAAATTGCATTTTTCGAAGTAACTAGTAAGCTGTATTATAGGTTTCGTAGAGAGACTGGTAGTTCTAGGGAGTGCTTAAGAAGGAATGGATGGCCATGACTTGCTCAAGATTAGCGGCTAGGTTGATAATCAATTTTTCGCACATCTCAAGTAAATAAAGATCCTCACGAAACTGGCCATGATTTGTTTGTGGTAGTGTAACCACTAACCACCCTTGTTCTTTTGTAGTTTAATTTTCGCTTTGAAAGGGGGTCTTGTCTTGCTATTGCGTTTATGGTAACTGAAAGTCTGAAACTTCCAATTCTCCAGGTCTGCTGTCATGAGAGTATGCAAGCTGGTCTGCATCGTCTCAATCGTTTAGGAATCGAGAAGCTTACTCAGCCTGTGGGACTTGCTTCTGCAATGAATCAGCTTCCCGATGAAGCAATTGAGCTCGCTGCTGCAGCACATATTGAGAGGGAGTTGCAAATCACTAGCTGGAACCTTACCAGCAATTTTGTTGCCTGTACCAACCAGGTACTTCACTATATATATTTTCAATTGATGCACTCATTTAACCAGAACAATTTATTTGCTTATTAAATGATAGCATGTGGGCTAAAACCACGGTTGGTGCAAAGGACATAGTAATCTTTGATGTGTTCTAGAGAGACCATGGATAATCTTCATCTATCATTTGTTGCTGAATATATATTGAGAGAATATGGACACTGCTTTACCATGTAGCAACATGAAATACTATTCTAAGATGGAAATGACAGGCTAGTAAGTGACCAAGTACATGAATATCTAGTGCATGTGCACCTCACCTCGGTTGACCTATCTGTAAGTGTATAAAAAAACCCAAACTCAATGTAGCATGGGAAACAAAGATGACAAATCCAGTGCTGCCAGTGAAAATGAGCCGAGCACACCCAATTTTGTTTTGTGTGTTGGGTTTGGAATCTTCCAGCGATTGACAGTCAACGAGTTGTGCCGCTAGCTAGCTTGTGCATGGATATGGGTTGCGGACGACGAGGGATTGAGGTCTAAGGAAACATGCAGCAAGGCAAGAACGCACTGCATGGTGGTACTGATACGACGTCTTTATTTTCTTTGTAACCATGCAATTCTCGTCATGAAGATCATCGTGCACGTCCAAGGCGATCAAACCTGACTTTGATACCTGTTGTGTACCTCCGGCCAGCAGGGCCGACGTCATCCCACTCACCGTGCTCCATAAGGCCAACTATGTTTCTAGGATCTATGTGTTCCACCGGCTGGCGCCGCCCAACGCCATCGTCGAGGCAGTGCTGACAAGGGTGCCAGTCGAATCGCCGTGGACGTTGCCAGCGGCAACCACACGATCGTGCTCACTGAGGCCGGTGCGGGGTTCATGGAGGCGATGGTTGATTATGTGTCCACTAAGAGGATCAACGAGCGGATCGCCTAGCGCCTTGCGCAAGCATTCAGGCCTCGCACATTCCAAATCACAATTTTGGTGTGATACATTGGTCAGGGGGGCGACGGGAGAGGCGGCGCCGCAAGACCTAGGACGCCGTGAGGCC